GAAATAGTTGAAGGGTAGCTTGATCTCTGTTCTTTTTAAATGTAGGCTCTGTTCACATCTGTCTTTTGAAATGAGCGGTTTACTCATTAAACAGCAATAAAACCTAATTTGTGTACCATACACAGTGCTACTTTAAGAGGGAGTGAATCTACTAATAAAAGAGGATAGCTAGTTCCTTGTAATACATAATGGACAAGTATTTAGAAAAGGTAGCACTGCCCCTGCTTCTTTTCAGGATTCTAATGGGATCAGGGCAAACCATGTACACTACTGGTTAGATTTAGGAATCAAAACAGTTTATTAAACATTGTGACTCTCTGTTTTGAAATAATAAAGTAAACAGCATGCAAAGCATATTATATTGCTACTAGGGTTATCTTTCAATTGGTGGGTACTTGAGGAACAGGAACTTTGGGGTGGGGGTGCTAGTTTTGCATGTATGGTGACATTACATTTGAGAAAAACCAGAAAGTGATGTCATTCTAGGATTTGCTGGAACTGTGGCAAAACTATAGGTTTTCTCGTGATTCTTACAGCGATATGACACTGTTGTGTTTATTTTTTAATTTTTCTTGGAGCAGTGGTGAACAAACAAGGGGCTCCAGTGGGAGATCACCTACCATAGTGGGGGGCCTGGCAACCCTAATTACCAAACCCACAGGCATCAGTGGCAACAAATGAAGACTGCAAGGTGGCCAGCTATTCACTTAAGTAGTAGAGAACATAATTAGGTTGTGGCTTGTTAGTGATGCCCTGAAGAAAGCAGAAACCCAGTAATGCGTAGCTATATACCTGCAGTATTGGAAAGCATAGAACCAAGCTTGGTTTCTTGAGATGGTATCTCTTTGGGTTTTTCCTTGCCCTGGAATACTGTGTTCTCTAAAGGCTAAATAGTCCAGTTTAAAATACACACACACACACACACATTTCTGTTGCTTTTTAAGACTTAAGTCAAAAGGTCAGTTGTACCAACTTCCTGAAATAGGCTTTGCCCCTCATAAACCAACAACATCGACTTCAGCAGCAAATGGTTAATAAAACTTGAGTAAAAATTTTTGATTCCTAAGGACTTCTGTTTTACCTTCCTCATGACTATCTTTACATGTTGCTTCAGGCTGCAGTTCCTTTTCTACATTTTATTCTAATCATTACTTAGTGTAAGCTATGCCACCAATTTATCACACATTCATGCAGAGACTCTCAAGAATGAACTTGTGATCTCTGTCTAGTTTAAACACAAATTGCTTAATTTATCTCTTGCTCCTTGATGTTTTATACAGAGGATCTTCTGATAATAGAGTGTGTCCTGGGTAACTACAGTTTAGCAAACAGTCTCTTTTCAGCTTGTAAGGTTCCTTTTTCATCTGGCAATCTTCCATCTCATCTGTAACATCAGTGCTTTTAACTCTGTAGCCATATTCTAACTGGGGTAGAGTTTTTCATCCCCTAAGTTCACAAGTAATACAGGCATTGAATAAGGCTATGTGGAGCAAAAACTCACTGTTTTTGTACAGAAATAATTGTTCTGAGCTATGACCTATGCTGTCCATTTATTACTGTTTGCTTTGCAATGTTTTAAGCTCTGTAACAGTAATTTAACTTCAAACTGGTACTGACCAAATGGGGGCCCTATAGCTTTAGGCAAACATCCAATGTTAATAGATTTGTGGTGAGTTGGTTTGGCTGCTGTTTTGGAGCTGTCCTTGCCACACAAATCAGCAGTGGGTGGTATGCAGAAATCATTATTTTATTCATTTTATTCATTAAAATGCAATGCTTAGAAAATGAGAAATAATTTAATTTGTGTCTATTATATTACAGCTGTGCAGTAATTCTAATTGTTACGGTGGAGTAAAAAGCTCCTCGTTGAAATATGTAACTTCTTTGATCTACACTAATTGGAGTGAGGTCCATACTAGCAGATTGAATTCTGTGCTTCAGCTTAATAACTATAGTAAGCGAAAAGTGCAACTAGAGCAAAAAAAACCCCTACTTTAGTTCTTGAATCAAAGCCCACGTGGGAGAGAACCTTATAAGACTAGTAAGGCAAAACTGCTTGAATATTTATAATTCCATAAAGAAATATTCTTGATTTAGTAAGAAATGCCTTCCTGTACATTAACTGAATTGGGTTACAGAAAATTCTGCAATTTTAGGAGATGGAAAAGAAGAGAAGATCTGATAAAGCCCAGCTATTACAGCTTCAAATGGAAAAGGCAAGCTATATACTGAGATTTCAGGGGATTCCTGAGATTAAAGGGGAGAATCTCAACCAGACTATGATTGATGTTTTAGGACCAGTTGCAGATTTAAAAGCGTATCTTCTTCAAAGCGAGATGGATGTGATCTACAGATCATATTCAGAATACATAAAGAAAAATAATCTGCCCAGTGAGGTGGTGGTTAGATTCTCCCAAAGACAAGTGAGGGATCAGATCCTAAAGGCAACAAATGGAACTACCCTGAAAGTAGATGGCAATGAGATAAGAGTTTTGAAAGACATTCCCTTTGAAATAAGAAAAAAAGGAAAAAATATAGAGACTTGGCTTCGTTTCTACAAAAGAATAACATCCCTTACAAATGGATTTTACCTGAAGACGTACTCTTCAAATTTAAAGATAAGAGGGGAAAAATTGACTCTGTAATGAAAGCATGGGAGTTCCTGCAGCAACAACTTTGACCAACGGGGGAAGACGATGAGGACAAGGGAAGCGACGATGAAACACCTATTGAAGAGAACTCAGATTTGGAACATGGGGTACCTGCCCCCAAGCAAGGATATCGTTTGAGGGGAAAAATGAGATGCTAACGTTTTCTGAAGTTTGCTGTCTTTTTAAAATATCTAATTGTTCTTGTGTATTGCTCTTTACTAAGTTTGAATATCTGGACTTGAAGCATATAAGCGATTTTAATAATCACTCTAAATGTAACAAATAACTTTTTTTACTCAAAGCTATATTGTAACCATTATATGACCACTACCTCTTGGATTTTTAGGGGTTATATTTCTCCCTTAGTTTGTAACTTCCCCCTCCTTATTTCTTTGTAGTTTTGGAAAATAAAAAAAATGTTTTTTAAAAAAGAAAATTCTTCAATTAAAAGAAAAGAAGTCTTGGGGTTAATTAAAACTCTCCAAAATAACAGAAATGATGCCTGTAGCTTTAAGAAAAGAATGACTGCTGAACTCTTGGTGGCTGATGGGGTTGGTAGGCAACCACAGCAATATAGCCAAGCCTTCCAAGCCTTGGCTTCTGTAAAGCAAAGCTGGGGAGGGGGGTAGCAGGAGTGGTCTGTAAAACCAAAACTGCCCCGAGAAAATGTCCCACCTGCCCTCCACTGCCATGTACCTTAATGGAGGAGGACTTGGCCTGGCAGCAGCAGCCATCACATAACTCAGCCCAGTCCAGCGTGGTGGCAGTGAATGCACGATTGTGCCTGGTAAGGTTGCCATCCCTGGGTTCAGAAATATCTGCAGATTTGATGGTGGAGCCTGAGAGGATGGGTTTTAGGGAGGGAAGTTAGTGGAGTATAATGTCATTCAGTCCACCTTCAAAAGCAGCCATTTTTTCCAGAAGAAATGGAATAAATACTTTAAATAAATAAATAAATAAATAAGCTATCTATGTAGTGTGAAGATCAGTTGTAATTCTGGGAGGTCTCCAGCTCACACCTGGAGATTAGCAAACCTAGTGCCTGGCCACCACACAGCCTGGCCTGGTACCAGCCACCACACAGTATGGCCAGACATTTTCTGGGGAGAGGCTATAAGAGGTAGGGGGTTAGGGTTTCCATGCCCCCAGGTTGGAATGGGGGATCCCCCAATTTAGCAGAGCCCAATCTGCTGCCAGCCAGCTGGCCAGCAGGGGAAAGCCCAGCCCCCCCACTCAGCACAACGTCCCCAGCATGGTGATGTCATGCGGAAGTGACATCATCATGCTGGGGACTCCATGTGGCAATGCACTAGTATTTTGGACAAAACCATGGTTATCCGTGCATGCACAGAATCAAGATTTTTCTAAAATGGCTCCTGTTCGGGATGATCTAACTTCAGAGCATCCTGAACGGGCCATTTTTAATTGCGTGCTGGAACGATCAGATGGGGAGAAGTCCACGAGTGGCCCGTTGGAACCGAAAACTCCAGATTTAAAGTGTAGTGTAGTGGTTAAGTGTGCGGACTCTAATTCCCCACTCCTCCTCTAATTCTCTTCTTTCCTGTTGAAATTGTGTTTCCGTTTATGAATTTCAATGGCTTCCCTGTGTAATCTAACATGGTAATTAGATGTGTTGTCCAGCATTTCAATGTCTTGGAATAAGATACTGTGTCATGTTTGAGTTAGGCTATGTTCAGCCACTGCTTATTTTTCAGGTTAGCCAAGTCTGCAGTGTCTTTCATGTTCTTTTATTCTTGTATGGATGCTATGCTGCATGGTCCCGATGTAAACCTGTCCGCAACTAAACAGAATGAATAAGGACTTCAAGAATGAGTTTATTAATTGTGAATGTCCTGAGATTTAGGATAAGGGGTTTATTTGTGTGTGTGTGTGTGTGTGTGTGTATGAGAGAGAGCTCCAATGATGTATAAATAGTTGAACATGATACCTTTTTACAGTATGTTTCCTTAAGCATACTAGATGGAATACTTTTTTATAATCATATAGCTATTTGATGATTTTTATACTTGCCTTGTGAAGACAATTTGGATGAGAGTTTGGTATGGAATTATTTAAAATACTGCATATAAATTAAACATTAAAAAGGTAGATACAGACAAAGCAGCTCAGTTATAATCTTTGGTTATGCAGTTACTGCCTCAAGGACACGTCATCCATTTCATATCATATGTCGCCCTTTTGAAAGATGAGCATTGGGGTTCAAGTAACATTTCAGAATAAGCAGGAAATTGCATAATTTATAGACCTTTTACAGTGAAAAACAGACAAACTGCTTTTTCATAAATTAAGTCTTTCTCTCTTCCCCCTCCACCTTTTTTCTTCCTACAGATTGGAGCACTGAAGGATTACTACCACTTCTACCATAGTAAAACAATTAAAAGGTCAGTTCTCTCAAGTAGAGGTACTCACAGCTTCATTTCAATGGAACCAAAGGTAAGATAATCCATCTGGCAAATTTTATAAAATGAAAGCATCTGCATTTTTAATTTGAAATTTTATACCAGGAGATGTTTACCTGGATGGCATCTAAGATTACAAGAGGTGACATAGTATCTGTTTACCAGGCTTCTGCTTCAGATTAGGATAGAATGAAGACTATCACATTGATGGCTGTACTGTTCTAAGAACTTCACAACTGGCTTAGTTTGTGGGAATAGTGTATTTGTTTTGTAATCTGTACTTCACTATGTTGAACTGCCCCAAAGTAATGGTGTATTTATTGGGGGGTGGGGCAGGATAAGCAGTAACTTTTTTAAAAAAAGCAGAAATATATCATACAAGAAGGGGGACCTGTGATACTCGCGCGGGGGAACTCCATGCAGAGGAGGAGGAAGCAGCCGCAGGTAAGCCTTCTCCCCCCCTGACACCAACAGCAAGGCCCAGGCGGCTCCTGCCCCACCCCCTAGCACCGACGGCGAGGCCCGGGCAGCTCCCAGCCGCCAGGCCTGCTAAGCCTTCTCTCCCGCCACCCCAGCACCAATGGAAAGGCCTGCACGACTCCTAGCACGACTTCAAGACCCACACAGTTTTATTCAAGGTATAAGCTTTTGTGTGCAAGCACACTTCTTCAGATACAAACATGTCAGTATTTGAACATGTTTGATTAACCAAATTCCTTTATCATGCATCCTATCAGTGGCTAAATCTAAAAAATCTTTCCTTATAGATTGTCCCCAGAAAAAAGGGGTACCTAGGTCTTCTGTCAGATTGCCTGGTACAGTAGCCAGAAATGGAACAATTATGTCTTCTCTAACGCCTTTTTATAGTAAATACAAAACCAACAGTACAAGGACCTCAGTAAATGCCAGTTTGGTGCAGTGGTTAAGTGCATGGACTCTAATCTGGGAGAACTGGGTTTGATTCCCCACTCCTCCACTTGCACCTGTTGGATGACCTTGGGCAAGCCATAGTTCTGTCAGAGGTGTTCTTGAAAAGAGCCGTTTCTGTCAGAGCTCTCTCAGCCCCACCTACCTCACAGGGTGTCTGTTGTAAGGAGGGGAAGGGAAAGGAGTTTGTAAGCCGCTCTGAAACTCCAAGTGAAGGGCGGGGGATAAATCCAATCTTTTCTTCTTCTAAATATTACTTCTGTACCACAAGGGCAAAAACAGTCATTTGAAGTAATTTGTTTGTAATGACCCTCAAGGATAGCTGATGACAAAACATTACAGCACACGAATATAAAAGCTGTTCTATATTTTAGTATAGTCTTATTTTTGTTGAAATTAATAGAGATTTCATTTGGATTTGTATCATCCCTTACATCTTTTTCTCCCTATCACAAATGGTTAATTACTAATTTATGATATCAACATGTGCTATTATGTTCAAGTATTTCAATTTTTTCCCACAAAAATGTTGAGACAAAGGAGTTTTTCAAGGGTTTTGAAGCCAGTGTGGTGCAGTGGTTAGTATGGGCAAGTGATGCTCTGTCTTCTTGGTGTTTGGGGGGGGGCAACAGTGGGAGAGCTTCTAGTGTCCCGGCCCCACTGCTGGACCTCCTGATGGCACCTGGTATTTTTGGCCACTGTGCGTTGGCCTGATCCAACATTGGCTTCTCTTATGGTTTTTTGAAAGCCTAGGGCACGGGAGACACAGGTTCATATCTGCACTTGTCCATGAAAGAGTGATGTGCTTTTAGCAGAAAGTATAGTCTACTTCTGATCTGCTTATTTGGCCCCTTTACTACATGACCCATGCCAATCAAGGATCCTCTGCTTAGAGTGATGACATTATGTAGTCTAGGGTTGCCAGCTCTGAGTTGGGAAATACCTGGAGATTTTGGGGGTAGAGCCTGGAGAAGGTGGTATTTGGGGAGGGACCACAGCAGAGTATAATGCCATGGAATCCACCCTTCAAAGCAGCCATTTTCTCCAGGAAAATTGATCTTGGTTGCCTGGAGATCAATTGTAATAGCAGGAGATCTCTAGGTGCTACCTGGAGGCTGACAACCCTAGTGTAGTCATTGTTTGGAAGCAAGTTTTAACAATTCATGGTGGGGGCAGTGCTCCCTCTGTCACACTGCTCTCACTCTAATTGGATGTCAGAAGGAGTTTTGCTGTGCTGTATAGGAAGTACAATCCCAGTTAATTCAGAATTAAGGCAATGCTTCCTACATTGCTTGGCTGTAGTCTGATCAGATGTAGGGAGCAAAAAACACAGCAACAAATTTAACTACAGCCTAAATGGTAGGAGGACTGGTGTGAAACATTAACACTTCTGCCTAGGGCTGCCATTCCCCTGATGGGGATGGTGGTTTGCCTGCTTTCGGGCCCCCAGATCTGGCGGCCCCGATCTGGCCAGTGGGGGGAACCCTGCCCTCAAAGCGCCCTGTTGGCACCAATGCACCCGGCTCAATGATGTTACCTGGAGATGACATCATCGAGCAGGGCACATTGCTGGGAGATGCTCTGTCACTCAAGAAAAAACTCTGTTTACCATAGAGTTTTTCCTTGAATGATAGAGCGTCCCCCATGAAGAAGTCCCAGAAAAGGACCAGGACCCTACTCGCAACAATAACAAATTTATCATGGCTAATAATATTTTATGATGTTTAAATATGTTAGTGCCAAGAACATTTTGCTTTACGTCATAATTTGCAGATTTGCTATGCTAACACAATGATTCCAGACATTACATTTATACTGGAGAAACGTATTGACATTGCAGTGATGTTTCAAGCAGATAACAAGAGTCCACTGACTACACAAAGGCTTGGGGTGCCAAATAAATTTATTCATCACAAGGGGAAAAAATCCAAGGATACCTTTATGTTAATTGATCATAGGAGGGGGGGAAATCACACACAAAGAGCCTTGCAAGACATGCAGGTTGTTGTCAGAATGTCTTGTTAATTTGTTGAGTGGTAGTCAGGATGTTGCATTTTGCTGAAGTTTAAACCACAGTGTATTGCAACTGGGGGAAATGCAGTGTTTTCCACTCAGTAGATGTAATGAGATTTAGTTCAGTATGGTATATTGTGTGTATTTTTATGATATATATATATTTTGCAGATAGGTTTTAATTTATGATAAAAACCTATCTGCAAAAAGAATAATTATACAATTCTACCCTAAATCTCATTGGTTTAACTAATGGGTCTGAGAACTGAGGGGGAAGACCAACCGGGGGGGGGGGGTTTTCCTTTTTCCCTAGTGCAATTTACCTGCTGAAAATTTGTCTTCTTTGCTGGGGGAAATTTATGGATACCCGTATGTTTTTTTGCTGCATGGATTAAAGCTTGGGGATGTTGATTTTTCAATAAATTGTTAAAAAAACCATTCCCCCCCCCACACACCCTCTTTAAATTGAAACTTCAGGGATTGCAATTTTAACCAATAGATTAAAACCATCTGAAGAAGGAATCATAGAACCTGTAGTTCTGCCCTTAGGGAACTGTGTGAAATGTATTTGGACATTCATCCATGAGCTGTCTGTAGTTTCACATAAAATCACATTGGCTCCACTGGCTGCAATAAGAATTGCATTTTTACTATTCACAATGTATTCTGCCTCACAAGTGTACTATTTGGTGAACACTGACAGATGTATTATTTATGTATTAGATATTTCAAGACTGATGCAATTGTATCACTCACAAAGTAGGAAACACCAGCTATATAGCCCCCTCCCACCATAGAGCAGTTAAGAGTGTGACCTGACAGTTGGGAAGCCACTAGTTATCGTATCAGCTCCGCTTCAGCAACGTATGTATAATAATACTAGGGAGCAAACCTCGTTGTTGCATAATACAATGGGCCCTAGAAAGGTAGGGAGTGTGGGTGGAAGGAAGGAAGGAAGGAAGGAAGGAAGGAAGGAAGGAAGG